AGGTGGAACGATGGGGAGGTGGGACTGGAGACGCACACGTGGAACAGGGGTCCTGCGCGGCGGGTGAGTGTTTGATGATGGTGGCCCGCATGCACGTGCGCGTTGGGGAGCATGACGGGGGGAAGGCAGGTGTTGACTGGCGGTGGTGTGAGGGAGGCACCCAGCGCAAGATCCCCGGTGGCATGAGGCAGGGAAGACGCTGTGACAGAGGCAGAGGTGGCGTGTGAATGTGAATGTGTGTGTTCGTGTTGAAAGTGACTGCACGCCTGTTCCTAGGGATAGGGTGTCACGGGGGCTTCGGGCCGCCAGTAGCCGCGCCCAAAACCGCGTGCTGCAGCCCAAATCGCAGCGCCTCCCGCGGTCAGTGTGCCCTCCCAACCGCCGCCCTTTCCCCCCTCCTCCACGGGTTGACATTGCCAGCAGCCGCCCTTCACCTGTCTGTGAGGTGGTACGTCGTGCGGAGCTTGCGCCCCATGATCACAGGGGTGGTGCCCACAGTCTGCTTCAGCACCCAGCTGCGCGCGCGTGCAATTGGTTGTTCATCGTCAAGGAAGTGGTGCAACGGCGGAGTGGGTGCTGGTGGCCGGCAAGGCCGGCCTCAAGCACGCTGCCTTCATTGGCATCTAACACTGCGACATGTGGGTGTGAAGAGAAAGGTGCGTGGGGCCCACTAAACGCACGCCGGGCGGGCCCAGCATGCGTGCGGCGAATCGCAGGGTGGCGCCCTGCGGTCAGCTGGCCTGTGCTCACCTGCCGCGCTCGATGTGGGGTATCATCTTGAACATGTTGCTGCGCCCCGCGTCGTCGGCGCGCAGGAACCTGGCGCCAGGAGGGATTGTAATTTTTGCACCGACGGGTCGGTGGGTGCCCGCGGCTCACGTAATCAGGGCAAGCAGGGGGGGAGGCTGAGGCCGTGCCTGTTCGAGATTCAGGGCAGCCCCAGCACAGGGCTCGCCCCAGCTGAGCGTGAGCCGTGTCACCGCGTGGGCGGGGCAGCAGGCACCGTCTTGCATACAACTTGTGTACACCATACAAGACGAGCAGCCTGCACCGTCTCGACAACAGATCACAGCGCAGCAGCCAGCCCTCACGCGCCACACCCCCCCCCCCCCCCGGACCTCTGCAGCGCGTGCTGGAAGGGCGTGCCGGGGCCGGCGCCCCCCTCCATGTGATCTGGGTGCCAGCTTTGGCTGCTGAAGACCATCACCATATTGAGCACCTCGGTGGGCGCAGGCACCTGGGGGTGGGGGCCGGGTGAATTTCTTGAGAAGAGAACCGGGGGGCGCCCAAGCAGGGGCGTGGCTCGAGGTGGGCGGGCGGACCAAACTGGGAGAGTGCAGGCGGGGTCGGCGATCTGCGTCGCAACAGAATACATGCAATGCAGCAGCAGGGGCCAGGAGCTAGTCTTGTCTGCACATATGCATACACATATACTTTTCATGTGTATCTATGTCACATGTGCGCAACATATATGTAACTATGCTGCCCCGCACGATCATGTTGACGACGAAGCTGAAGGCGGCAGGGCTCTGGCGGACGCAGCGAAGGTACCTGCACATGTGTGTGCGCGCACGTGTGTGTGTGTGTGTGTGCGCGCGTGTGTGTGTGTGTGTGTGTGCAAGTGTGCGTTGGAGGAGGGCGGAAGGGTGTGCAGGTACAGGGGCAGGGTTGCTGGGATGAAGCAAGGGGTCAACTTGCTGGATCCGACTGTACAGGACTCTGCCATGTCTGGGTGTTGAGCCGCGGCCATTGAAGGGCGGCGTAACAGGTTTGCTCGCGGGCCCCGCCGCGTGCGGCAGACGCAACGCAGTATGGCGTCCGGCCCCTGCCGGCCCCGCAGCCCACACGAATAAAGCGCGCCGCGCGCCTGGCGAGGTGGTGTGTCGCAGATGGCGTTACAACGAGGTCCACGGCACATAGCCAGAACTCGGGCGCGCCCGCCGCCACCTTGGCGCGGTCCTGTGGGGGGG